CTCTGACTGCTGCAATTCTTTGTGTAGTATCTGAGTGGCTCTTTCAAACGTATGATCGATCTCTCTGGAGGAGTGTGTTGATGAGTGAAAGCCGTTTTAAGACTGGCAAGGTGGCAATCCTGATTGCTCTCCTTAGTGCAAATTTGGTGGTATCTGAGGGCTTGGCTGTGTATCACAGCTTTCTAAACCCAAAAGCTTGCTAAGAAAATTTTTTTTTCCAACTATTTAAGTTGGTCTAATAAAAGATATCAGTTGCACCCAAAAAACCTTGTCTGCCTTGGTAGAAATGGGGGTGAGGAGAGGAGCTTTCCCAGCATCTGGCTGCTACATGCCTTGCTTTACCCAGAGCTGGTAATTTTCCCACCTGTAATCAGTGGCTGCCAGTTTTCAGCCACATTAGAAACATGTATATGGGATTCTGGTTCAGCCCTCTGAAATGCCCTTCGAAGTGGCAGCAACCTGAAAAGCTCCAAAACACCCTTGTGTATTGCTGCACCACAGCTTGGGGCACCTCTCGTTGTCCTGGCCTCGTGATCTGCTCCTGCCCTGCAGCCCAGGGCCTGTGAAACCAGTTAGTCCTTGTCATTGGTATCCTGGATTGGCTGAGAATGAGCAAATCTGTCATTTCCTTTCAGACAAGCACTCCTGTCACAAAGAGGCAAGGAGCAGTGGCAGCACAGAAGCAAAGCAAGAGCCACTCAAAACACCTCCGGCAGCAGCAGGGGACGCGCCAAGAGTAACCTATGAGGGTAAGATTGGATTAGTGGGGCCAAGTAGATGGGTCTTAAGGCCAGATCCCCAGTGGTCATAAATCCATGTTGTCTCAAAGGCTGTGGTGGACTTGACCAGCTTTTACCAGCTGGACACCTGGCCATGAATACCTGCACCTGCAGGTGGGTTTCCAGGAAAGAGGAGATTTGTGCCTCTCCCAAGGGGAATGATGGTGCCAGCTGCAGCCCTGAATTTATACCTCAAGGAAAAAAATATCCTTTATTCACTGTGCAGTGTAGTGGCTTTCTTAACGCCTGTCTCCCAAGCTCGGCTCTCATCTTCATTCCAGGGGATGGGCTTTTCTTTACATGGTAGCAGTAGACCTGGGCAGCAGCAAATGTACGCTGGATGCATGAAGGGAGAAAATGACCTATACAACTGGACACCATACATTCCCAGCCTGTGCCCCTCTCCCCACCCCTTTCTATTTGCCAGGCGAGGTCTTTGCTGTTTGCTCCCTCACACAGGTGGATCCAGAGGGTGGGGGGGAAGCGGGGCAGGATGGTGCTTTCCATGGTTTCCATCTTCATGCGATTGCTGGGAGCCCACAACATCTGACACCGATTTTGGCCGATCAGTAGTGACGCTGTATGACCATGACCCTGGTGTGCTGCAGTGGGGTGGGGTGAGGGGCCAGTGACTGAGGATGGAAAAACTGTCTCCAGTTTAAACATTTTGTCAGCAGATAAAAGATACCGCCCGCAAGCCCCATCTGGGACTCGTATGAGCTGTCTGACAGGCACCCACGAAGGGCAAGGGAACCGAGTGCTCAGACTGCAGCTTGATGTGCTGTGACACTGATGCAGAGATAAGCCCTCTAGAAGAGGGATCCTTATCTGTCCACTGCTAACCCTGCTCCCCCTCCTCTGGTTACTTTCCCCCTTCAGTGATGGCAGAGATAAAAATCTTAAAATCTTTTTCTTGCTTAAGATGACAGTGAAACCTCCTCAGAAACATCCGAGGACTCAGACAGCAGTCCCTCCGCCGGGCAGGTAATGGAGCAGCATTACCTTGTATTTGTATATTATTATTTGAGACGCAATTCCCAAGGGCCGATCAGGTCCTGGCCCTGCTTTGCTAGATGCTTCTGGCACAAAAGCCAGGGTTTTCCGAAATCTCTGCACTCCAGCTCTCCTGGAAATGTGACTGCTTATTTCATGGCTAAGTGGGAATTCCTCTGGCCTCGAGTAAGCAAGAAGGTTTCAAGCCACCTCACAGCTTCTACACAGCTAAGGGACTCCTGAGGGAGATGGAGGCATTGTCATCAGTGCAGTTACCTGAAGGAAAGCTAGGCAAAATGGTCACAGGAGTACTGCAAAGGATGATGCAGCAAAATGAGGGAGGGGGTCAAATTAAATGCCCCGGGAGGGTTTTTTGGCTATCCTGCTTGTGGTGACTTTGCCAGGGGTCCCCACCAGGACACTGGCTTTCTTACAGTGGTGTGTGGGCTACCAAGAGCTTCCTGGTGAACGAGACCTTTGTGATCCTAGTGTAGGGCAGAGACTGGGGGGGCTGAGGTGGGGGCTGTTTATGGAAACACACCCAGCCCTGCATTGTAGGGTGGGCTTGTGAGGTGGGTCCATTGTCTGTGTGTGTTTTGGGGCGGATTTGTGCTGGTGTCCCTGTAAGCACAAAATGCAACAGAGTGGAAGGGGGGCCCTGTGATCCCAGGGCTGCCTGGCATGCTGACATTTGTCCTGGCTGATTTGAAATCCAACGTCGATGGCGGCAAAATCCTGAGCACATTTGCTGCGTAACCTCCCTAATCTCGTAACCACACCGCTGGGACCAGAATGACCGTTGTTGCCTGCAGTGTGCACATCTGCCTGCATGTGCCAGCAGGATGGGGACGGTGACCCACAGGGCGTGTGGAGTGTAATGATCCACTGGGCCCGAAGGCCTGGCTGAAATCTGTTCTGGCTTCTGTTTCCCATGCTTCAGGGCCCAACATCACAGGAAGGCATCAATTACACCACCCTCCTCTTTGCAGCCACGGGACGTGGCACAGGCTCTAGCGGGGACTACGAGAACATGAAGACAGCGACAGATTACGTCAACGTGGATCCCAAAAAGCAGAAAGTGGATTTCTGGGTCTGCTCGAGCCCTACAACCTCCAAATCGATCGAATACACTGAAGTGAAGCTGTGATAATGCAGCTGGCCAAGCTCTACAGGGGCAGAGCTCCTCTCAGCTGCCTCAGTGGCACCTCCACGTCTGTTCATAGAGCCATTTTCCTCCGCACTGCAACACAGTGCCTGCCAAGCATGGAAGCAGGAAGACTTATCTTCCTTACCCTGCCTCCTGTGACCGTGCATGGTATCTTTTTCTTTCCTGCACTTGCTAAGCTTGGGGCCTCCAATACAATGCAAGAGTGAGTGTCACCAGCTCTGAATGCTGTATGGAAGAGAAAGCATGCCTTCCCTCAGCCTTGGATGCACTTTTCAGTTTCCTTGAATGCCCCTTGTTCTCACACAAGGGAAGGAGCTGATAGGACCCCAGTGCTTGTAATCAAGCATCAATCCAGCCTCAGAGAAGAGAAGCCAAAGGAGCTGAAGCACTCCTTTGACTTACGCACATATAATAAAACCCTTTGACATCCATTTCCCAAACCTGCGTTGCCCTTTCTATTTGGGAAGGGCTAATTGTTTTCCTTCTTTCCTTTAACTTTTGAAAGCCCTTGACTACTGAGAGGAAGCTCACCCTGCATTTCTGCAGGCAGTCGCGCTGGGCCAGAGGACAGGGGCTCCCCTCTGAGTGGTCTGGAGCATCCCCTCCTTGAGGACAGAAAGCTGTGTCTTCATCCGATATGCTCATGATTATGTAGCCCTCTATTTAGCTGCCTTAGTAGCTGGGGCCAGTTCCCAGGCAGAACTCATTAGGTACGTGCAAACAGTGGTGGGAGGCTTTGGCGGCACTGAGCAGGTTGGGGTTGTGGGGACCAAACATCCCTTGGAGAATAGGTGGGATCTGCTGTATAAGCTTCTTCCCCACCTGCAGTGCTAACTGGAGTCCTGTCAGAGCCCAGGGCTCCCTAGGAGTATTAATTGCTTGAGCACAGTTGCTGGCACTGGAGGCAGGCGACCTGCTGGGAATTTCCCTCCCCACCTTATGTCATAACTATCAGCACAGATGGTGAAAGGGGGTCAGGGTGTGCACCACTACAAAGGAATATAGCAACTACCGGCCTCGATCAGGCCACTGGTCAGTCTGCTTCAGTCCCCTGCTTCCGGTCTGATGATTGATTGATTTTTGCAGAAGCTCTTTAACAATCAAGACATGGGCTTCAACCAACGCTTGAATCTGCAGAAGCACCTCTGTTCCCTAGGGACGATGCCACGCTCTCATCGAGCAGCTCCTGCTAGCCTGTCAGCTGCTGGCACAGGCTGAGTTTTGTAGCTGCCTCTTGCTTTTGTCCCACTCTCTGGGAGCTTGCTGTTGACTTCAGTGTGAGTGAGAATGTGCCAGGATGGCGCCTACGGTAACGGTGTGACTTGTGTCTTGATTCAAAGCCTCCCGGAGTTCTTTCATGACAAGTTAATTTAGAAACAGAGGCCGGACCCTTCTGAGATCATCAGCTTTTAGAACCAGCTACAGGCAGCAGGTAGAGAGCTCCCTTCCTTCATCCCGTCCTGCGCTGCATGAGAGCAGGAGCGCTGTTCAGGCTCCATCTGCACTGGCTTTTTGTTTCCTGCTCCAGCACATAACCCTCATCGCTGAACTAATGACTGCGAAGGAGCCAGGCCTGCCGGTTCATTAAGGCAATCACTATATTCCTTTAACACCCAAAGGCTGCCCTGAAGCTTTCAGGGCTGGGTCTCAGTTACACAGTGTTGCCAGCTCCCTTGATTCTGATGCTAATCTTGCCATTTTCAGGCTTTGGGTCCCAGTAGTTGGAATCTTGGTCCTGTCTTTTGTTCAAAAAATAAAGTCTCCAGCTCATATAGCAGAGGTAAGCTGGAGCGCACAAATTGAGTACACCTCAAACAGCAAAACCCAGAGGCCAACAAAAAGCAAATATTGGGATCTTTGAAGCAAAATAACATGAATTTTTAAGCCAATGGCATGCTTTGTTGGGGGAGGGATCCTGGCTTTCAGATGTTTGGGATGGGCAGGACTGATTGCGCTAGCAGTGTCAAGGGGTGGGTATAAATGTAATTGGTATAACTGTCATCAAAGCCTCCTTACCCTGCCAGAGGGATGCAACAGGGCCTTTGGGTAAATGTAAATCAGGCCCTGTATGTTTTTATATGATATCAGTAGCAGCCCTAGCTTTCTGGGACCAGTTCCTCAACCACTGTAAGCTGGGAAACACCATTCACTTCAGTGGAACTTCTGGGCTTTACCACTACTGAAAATCTGGCCCTTGGCCTACACAGACAAAGTTAAAAAATTACAAATTAAAAGCTTGGGGCTTTGGAAAGGGGAGCATAACATGTGGGTCTCTCTGTTACAAGGCACAGCTGCTGGGGGAACAAAAGGAGCTTCTGCAGGAAGGCAGCATGCTTAGAAATGCAAAGGTGCAGAGTGCGAGTACAAAGGGCTCCCTCTCCACAGACCGCTGACCACTGGGGAATTTGGGGTTCACAGAAAAGGGCTGGAAATCAGTAGCCGGTGATGCTCGGAGCCAACTGTTGTTTGCAGAGCTGTCCAGGGTAAGCCACCTACAGTACACAACAGGGAGAAGCTGTATTAGGCTCGCAGGACCCAGGGTGCTGCCGCGTGTTCTCGAGCACCACCTGCTGGGACGTGTCTCTCTTAGACACACAGACAGACACTACTGTGTGCTACGGGATGGACTTGGGGGCACATGTGGCACATCTAAAGATGCACCGGTCTTCGGTGTTATGCAGTAGAAAGGCTGGATGGTGGAGCTCCTTGTCGATGAAGTTCTTGAAATATGCAGCCACATGCAGAAGGCAATGCGCTCGGAGTGAGCACACCAGTGCCCGTACCCTTGGCAAGTGTAAAAGCCTACATGACTCTTAACCGCTATCATTATAGTCCAGAGCCACTGTGTGTTTGATACCCATGGCTGCTTTCTGCTTATCACAGGCTTACCGTGCTTGGCTGTCTTCAACACGTCATCTCTGCAGCCAGAAGGGACAGGCCAGCTTGCCATCTGCAGTCTGAGCCTAGCCTGACCTGACACACCCATGGAGCAGACCAGATGCTGCCAGGGGGGCCAGGTGCTTGGTATCCTTGCTCCAAAGCAAAGCACCATGGAGACAGTTGAAGAAAGCTAGTTGCATGGGCAGGGCATTCTTCTCTCTTCCAAGTATTCTTCAGTATGACCCTGATACAGCAAAGCACTGGGAGATGTGTTGGACCTTGTAGGAAGGTGCCCAAGTCCCAGTAGCAAAGCACTTAAGCTCACGGTTCACTACGGAAGATGAGCGGAAATGTAAGAGCTTGACTGAGTGGAGAGGGAGTAAGTACTGTGCTGAGCCGATCAGTAAATTAAACCATATATGTGGTAATGCAATGGCTCTGTCTGCCACATAACACGGTTGCCTTGGAAAACAGCTAAGGAATAAATACTGATCAACGGCTGCAGGCCTGTGGATAGATGATTAATTCTGTTCTCCTGCGAGCTGCTGCTCAGACTGCTGAGTCTTCCTTGGGGTCAGTTTATTTTGCTGTGGCTTAGAAACTGGTGAGGAGCTCCCTGATAAGCTTTCACCGGCTCGAGTGGTGCGGTGGTCTGCAGATGATGTGTGCCATGTCTCCTAGCAGCTGGCGGGGTTTGCAGTGACTGTGGGGGGACTGCCACCAGCCCAAGGTAAATGCCAAGCAGAATAAATTGCAGTATTTATTTTTATAAATGAAAGGGCCTGAGGCAGATATTGATTTGCGCAAAGTGCCTGAGTTCAGAGGTCCTTGCTCTCCGGACCCTGTCATTCTGAGTTGGCCCCTCTAGGAGAAGCCAGGGAAGATCTTTTTTTTAAGGTGGTTGGAAATGATGCTAAATCCCATGAGAAATGGGCTGAAGTAATGAAAAGGGGAAATGTCAGAAACCGAGACTGATTTGCAGGCTATTTTCTTTCTTTTTTTTTCCCTGGAAGACGCAGTAAAAAAGCAAGACGTGGTGTAAAGGAAAGATAATGCTGGTAGGAGTCAGGGCAAAGGCTGTAATGCTAACAGCTTACATTACTGAATGTAGGGTGGGGTTTTCGAAGGAGCCTAAGGGAATTATGTTCCTAGGAAATGGGTACGTCTCTGGCTTAAGCACTTACACAGCCCCTACTGCAGGCACCTCGCAAGCCTCCTTGGACTTGTCCTTACAACACCCTGCTGAGCTGGGCCATTGCTGTGGTTCCAGTGGGGATTCAGGGAGCAAGTGATCTGGACTTGTCCACTTCAAAATCTTTCTCTACACTTTAAAGGCAAGAGAAAAAGGTCAAAGATTGAAGGTGATTTGCGGGATCAGAGACAGACAGAAATCTCACTGGCTGTATTTCCTGCTGTGCCCTGGTGAGGACAGCAACGGTCATTACCCTCGGGAGATTTTTTTCTCTTTAGCCTAGGATGCTGCAGAGCCAGCAGCGCATCACCGCAGGGGGCAACACTGCCATTCACTCCGTCCCCCTGACTCCTGCTTGCTGCCACTGCTAGCGGCTCGCTTCAGTGGAGCAAAGGAGGAAGAGAAGAATGCAAACCCCTGAGCCCAGACAAAGGTCTCTAAAGGCCACATTTACTTGAAAAATTGAAAGCAGCCTTCAGCTCCAAACAACAACACAGCCCTCCCGGGGCTTCTGCTGCAGACTGGAAAGAGGAAACTTTCCTGTCTGCAGGGGTGAGCAATGGTTTCCTACCAAGGCACCAGAGCCCTGTTTGTAAATGCGTGTGTAGACCGAAGCGGCGTTGCAGCACTGTACAATCCCTGCTTTCATCAGATAGCCTTGTAGGAACAGAATGTTATCACCATGATCCTCTCACACTGAGCATTCCCCGGGGGGGGAAGAGAGGAAAGCATTGTTATTTAGACTCTGGGAAATGATGATGAACCCCAAGAGAACTGGGCCTGCAATATAAAAAAAAGGTAGGTGGAGTTCTCCAGAGATAATGGGCCTTAGCCAGTCGAGCAAAGTGGACTTGCTCTTGATGAAGGGTTGATCATGGAAGCACAGCATAAATGCAACTTGGGTAAGGATGTATCCTTTGGCAGTGTGAGTTTTGTTTGCTGCACACTAAGATGAATGCTGCTTTCTGATATTTTTCCCATTTGAAATTGCCCCAGATCTCAGCAAATAAGAAATGTGGCTGGTAAAGGCAATTCCACTCTTCTGATGATTTTGCATTAAAAATAGCTGTCGAACTTAATGGAAAATGCACGTTCCCGAGGCATGATGTTACTCACAACTAAGCTGAGAGGGCACTGGTGCTAACTCTCATAGAAGTCCTGGTTTGGGGCCTCCAATTACTAGAAACAATATGTCCTCAAGCAGTGAAAACCAAGTCCACCACTATATAAAGGGATTTCATACGATATGGTGACTTTTCCCAAGGTACAGCCTGTACCCCCTGGACTCAGTCACCAGGGCTGGAAGGCATCATCTCAAGCTGCTGAAGTTTTGCTAGTTCGTTGCACAATGCATAGTCTGGAAAATCCACCAGCAACATCTCCCGGAAGAGGTAACTCAGGAGAACAGGTCTTGCAGAGAAACTTGAAGAACAGCTGTGTTTGGGGAGACCCTAAGCTGAGGTCTGAGCTGTGATGGTGGTTTTGTGTAGCCAACATAACCAGGGCCCAGGAGAGGGTGAGTCTGGCTAAGCTGGAGTCTGAGTTTTGCATGTGGGGCAAGGTTTTGTACTGGTCTTAGACTCAAAACAAGCTGCGGCCAATCTCTGCCCACCTCCTCGTGGCACTGGACGCCTCTCCCAGAGTGACTGCAGCCTGTGAACTGTAGGGTCCCCGTATGCCAAAAGCAGGGAGCCTGTGCACTATAGAGGCTGCAGTAGAAGCCAGGCAGCGACTCCACTGCTGATCCGTGCCCTGGAGGAGAAGACTCCTCTTTCCCCCCATGGGGACACCCTCAGCCTGGGTGCTCAGGCAGCATGCCTGTTCCCACCACTGAGACCTTTGGGTCCGGTTTTATCCCGTCCATAACACCGTGGACACTTTCCAGGACCAGCTTCCTACCCACAGCACCATCAGGGCCATCCAGCAACCTTCGGAGAGGCTGGCGAGCTGAAGGAGCAGCCTCGAAGTCAGCCAGAGGAGAGCGCTACAGACAGCAGCTACTCTGTGACACCCCCACGGCAAGGGCAGTGACACAGGCACCCCGGGGCAGCAGAAAGCGTTGCGTGCCCACGCTCCGGCAGAAGGCAGTGCTGCACAGAACTGTTAAGACACACGTGTGCAAGAGGCTAACAGTTTGCAAGATCTATTTTGACTCGGGAAAGGCACCTGAGCTCTGGCTGCCTCCCACCAGGGAAGCCACACGGGAAGCTGTCAGTGACATGCCACGGTTTTTAATGAGCTTTGGGGCCGGCGTAGCTGAGCTGCGCCACAGGAATTGCAATCAACAGCTTATTAAAAATGAACTCCACGAGATGCAGCCACAGCCCTGGGAGAGCGACACTGAGGGAACCGACTGCGTTGGGAGCAGCAAGGTAATTCCCATCATAGACGGGCGTTGGGGCCTGGGCAAAGCGGTGGGCGATGCGGTCCCACGATCCCGGGGCACCCCCTTTTCCTTCCCGCGGCGTGGTGGGAGAGCGTTCGAGGCGACTCCCGAGGCAGGACTCTGAGCCCCGCTCTGGACCTGTGGTGGAGGCTGCCCCCAGCTCTGCTTGGGTCCCTGGTTCTTCCTCTGGGGACTCTGGGTTGGCTGGACGTGATGAGAGCTGCTGGGCAGACCCTTGACCCTGCCTGCCACTCAGATGCCCAGGTGGGAATGAGCTCACAGGCCCTGAGGGCCTCAGTTTGGGCCCGTGCGGCTGGGGATTACAGGCCTGATGTTCCCCTTGGTTTGGGCTTTATAGCAGCATTGCTGTCTGGGTGCCTGTGAGAGGGGAAATGCCTCAACCATCTGCACCCCTTGCCTGTAGGGCCCATATCCGGTGGAATAATGACCTCAAGCCACAAGCACTTGGAGCACTGTGTGTCACGGTGGTTAAAGCAGCTGGTAGCCAGGGGGGCGAGGGGGATGATTAGCCAAGGGCAGGGGAGCAGCAAGTGAGCACTGGGTACCCAGGTGAGAGAAGAGGGGTGTGCCCACCTGCTGTACCAGGGGAGGGTGAAGCGAGATGGGGCTTTACTTGGGCAGGGGCTTTGGTGATCCAGTTGCCTTCATGCATTTGCTGTTAGAACAGCCTGGAAGCAGGAGTGGGCTGAGACTGGCATCCGTGAGGCTCATTGCCCATGTTCCTGCCACACACAGCCACCACCGCCCTCCAGCATGGAGAGGAGTGCGCAGGCTGCCCCGGGGGGCCCAGCCCCTCTAGAGCACACTGGACTCAGTCACCACGTCCTCGTAGGGCTGGTAGAAGTCTCTCGAGGGCCCCTGCTGCAGCGGGATCCCGGGAGTGGTGCTGGGGTGGCCGTGAGTGAGGATGGTGGTCTTCCGGCTGCAGAGGCTCCCATTGGAGACCTGCCTCTTAAGCCCTGGGCGGAGGCGCGTGCAGCAGGAGAGGGAGCGCAGGGCATCGTGCAGCAGGTGCCTGCTGAAGAACATGTAAATCCAGGGGTTGCAGCAGCTGCTGAGGCTGGCCAGCAGCATGGTGATGGTGAATGCCGCGTCGCTGGAGTCTACAAAAGGAAAGCAGCCCTGTTAATTCTGCGTTGTGCACAAGGCGCTACCCTGCCGTGGGTGAGACCTTGGTTGATTCCCGGCTTTGATGCCGGCCTCCTGTGTGAGCTCAGGTGAGCCTCTCTTTCCCCTCCACGTTCCCTCTCACCCCTTTGTCTGTGTCCTTTATTTGGGGAGTCAGGTCTTTGCAGCAGGGTCTAGGTGTTTGCATTCGCTCTACAAGCTGTGCCACTGGCATCAGCAGCCCACTCCTCGGGAGAAGCACTGCCAGGCTCTAGAAAGGTATCAGAAGCCGGACCGCAGCAAGCTGGGTGTTGTTCTGTCTGTGCCACTGGTGCAAGAGCTATTGCCGGGGCTTGGGCATCATGATGCTCCAGTCGGGGACAGGGACCTTCATTCAGGCATGTGCTACGCTGCCAGCCACTGTGAGCCCACTTCCCACTGCCAGAGTAGTGGAAAGGGGTTTTGGCCTTAACAAGAATCAGGACCAGAGTCGTCTTTCTTTCGTGAAGGGAAAACACTCCAGAAACGGGACCCGATCCTGTTCTAGCCACATCCACAGAGGTTTACATCGCTGGAAGGGAGCTCAGAATCTGAACCCCTGGTTCCTGCACATATCCTCTGTGAGCCAGCATAGCTGACTGGGAGATCTGATGCATCAAATGTGCTTCCTTTGTCACTGCTGGGGTCTGAAGCAAATGATGGACAAAGCCTGAGAAAATCAAGCCTCAGGGGGGAAATAATGGAAAGCCATTCAAATAATCTCCTTGGAAGTTTTCAGTGGCTTCCATATAAAGGCTC